TCCATCGAGATCTGTTCCTGTAGATTTTCCTTGTTTTGTGTGGAGCATAGTCTTCTGTTTCTTCAATTTCCTTCTTTGTTCATTTTTGCACATTAGCTAAAACAGCCACCTCTCCCAGTCTTGATAGAATGGTCCTGTATAGGAAATTAATCTCTTGAATCAGTCCACCCCAAGGTCCTAGCTGTCCCTCAAACCTCTGAGCTTGTCCAAAACACCTGCTTTGTTATTAGTGACTCTGTACCTGAGGGTGCTCCCAAACCCATCAGCGTCCCAAAGGGGAGACTTGCAATCAGCACCTGGATGCAGCCTAATTATAAACTGGACCCTCATCAGCTAGGATACTATGTACTTAATCCCCCTCCAGAGAGACCCTGGAAGATGGGCATTTTTGCCTGCTCCCTCTGTGCTGGGCCCAGGATATAGCCAGCAGGAGAGCTCCTGTAACTGTTTAAAAAAAAAAAAAATGCTTTGTGTGCTACAGTATTATGGAACTCAAGAATACAAGCCCCATCGGTTCACAGAGCCAAGCAAGTGGGGGCATCCCTTGAATAGCAGCTACAAAAGCTAGGATGCCAGATATTTGTACACTCCTTCCAGGGAGATGCTGTTGACTTAGCTGTACTGTTGCAGCAGGCTGGAGGGAGGGACAAGGAAGGTGCCGACAGCTTCCCAGCCTCTGGTGAGGATTGCAGCCAGCCAATACATATGTGCTCTAGTTGGAAGCTTCACCCTCAGATAGCAGGGGGTTTTTTAAATTTTTTTAAATTCAATGTAGTTAACATAAAGTTTATTATTAGTTTCAGAAGTAGAATTTAGTGATTCATCAGTTGCATATTACCCCCAGTGCTCATTACATCAAGTGCCCTTTTTTTAAAAAAAAAAAAAAAAAAAGAAGAAGAAGATTTTATTTATTTGCCAGGGAGATGGGGAGGGAGAGAGAGAGAGAGAGAGAGAGCGAGCACAAGCAGGCAGAGTGGCAGGCAGAGGCAGAGAGAGAAGCAGGCTCCCTGCTGAGCAAGGAGCCTGAAGCAGGACTCGATCCCAGGACCCTGGGATCGTGACCTAAGCCAAAGGCAGTGGCTTAACCAACTGAGCCTCCCAAACGTCCCTCAAGTGCCCTTCTTAATGTCTATCACCCAATTACCCCATCCCCTCACCCATCTCTCCTCCGCAAACCTTCAATTTGTTCCCTCTAGTTAAGAGTCTTTTGTGATTTTTATCTTATTTTTCCTTCCCTTCTCTTATGTTCATCAGATAGCAGGTTTTTAAAGTATGAAAATAAACCTCTTGGGGAATACTGGTATAGGGTGGTTTTGCCTATTCCCTCTGTGCTGAGCCCTGGGAGGTTAGCTGGTTAAGAACTGCTTCTTGGCTACAGTTCTGAGGGACTTGTGAATGGAAGCCCTATTGGCTTTTAGAAGTAGGTGTTTATGGGCCTCATCCCTCACGTGAGAGTCTTAAAAGTTGGGATATTAGATGTGCTGTCCATACCCTATGCTCCTCATGGAGAAGCTGGGAGTTGGGGATTTGCTGTCAATTACAGGACACTATGCCAGGAGCAGGGTTTATGGCAAGAGTGTGTCTCAGCCTTTCCTACCCATTTCAATGTGGGTGTTCTTTCATTTACCCAGGGTGTATGAGCTGCTGGGCTAGATTCTGGATCTTTCAGAGAGAACTCCTCCATGTGCAGCTGTACATATGATGTGCCTGTGGGAGGAAAGGAGCTCAGGAGCCTCCTATTTCCCCATCTTAATCAGCTCTCTTCCATGTTCAATGGCTTGCACTATTTCTTCTGTTAATTAAATCCGTATTTCTAGACTGACCATTTCTCAAAAATGCAAAATACTTCCATCTCTTTGTTCCATGTATTTGTGTTCTATATCTCCTAGAATCCCTCACCATCCTTTTGTCCCCATCTCCTACATCCTTTTCATTTATATCCTTTGTCTTCTTTTACTCCCTTCCTTTGTGGCATTCCTTGAGAAATACATCTTTAGCATAGATTATTATGGAAGATGATGTTTTTGAGTTCTTCTATGTCTGGAAATATCCTTTCTTTTACTGATGGTGTTGTTTAGGCAGACAGACTTTAGAATGAAGAGAAGACTTTTGAAGGCATTGTTCCATTGTTTTAAGTATTTTATTCATTTTAGAGATAGAGAGGGGAAAGCAAAGGAGAGGGGCAGAGGGAGAGGAACAAGAAGATTCCACACTGACAGCAAAGCCTAACGTGGGGCTTGATCTCACAACCCTGAGATCATGACCTGAGCTGAAATCAAGAGTCAGATGCTTACCTGACTGTGCCACCCAGGGTGCCTGTTACATAGTTTTCTACCTTCCATTGCTAAGAAGTCAAATGCTATTCTGAGTCTGGATCCTTTGAATGGGACCTATTTTCTTCTCAGAAACATTTAAGATCTTGTCTCTAGCCCAGTGATCTAAAATTTTTCAACTTGTCTGCTTTGGTTAGTGTTTTTTCTTTTTTTAACTTTTGCTGAGAGTATAGAGCTTTTAAATCTGGAAGCCCATGTCTCTCAGCTCTGAGAAATTATTTACTTTCTAGGATAATTGTGCACCCTTTTCACCTCCTCTCTCTTCTGGAATCTACTGGTTAGGTGTTACATTCCCTAGAAAAATCAGATTTCCTTATTTTTGCTCACTTTTCATCTGAGTTTTTGTCCTAGTATTTGTAACATTTTAACTTGATCTTCCTAACTATGAAATGTTTTATTCTTTCAAAAATAATGTCTTTTATGAAAATTTTTAATAGCATGCTCATTCCCTACGTGAAATCAGTATCTTCTGAAACATTACTCTTAGACCTAGAGTGTCATATATTTTGTGATAGAATGTGCTACCTGAAAAAGATTTTGCCACTTCAAATATTTTCTTGTATAGGGTTTGAACACCCAAAAATATATGCCTTTTAAGTTTCCCTGTTAATTAATTTTAAATGATTTCTTCAAAACTTGTTAAGTATCATAAAGTGTTGGCAAGAAACAGAAAAAGTAGCTTATGAACATCTGCGGCATGCTACAAATGGAGTTGCAGTGTAAATAACTGTGAAATAAAAAGACATGGAGATGGTTCCAGCAATCAGACTTGGCCAAAGCACAGGGTTTTTGGCAATGGCTTGGAATGTGGAATGCATTGCCCACTTAAATCAAGGTCCAGATGCTTGTTATTTCTTTTTTCCAGTTTCCATTCACCATAATAGGGTGTGTGTGTGTGTGTGTGTGTGTGTGTGTGTGTGTGTGTGTGTGTGTTTTAAGGTCTTCAGGCCTCTGAGCAAGAATTCAATCTTTAAAAAATGTTCCATGCCCAAGCAACATCTTATATACATGCCATTTATTTAAATGAGTGATATGGATGGTTTTATATTGGCATTCTTATTGCAAATGATAATGGTACCTTGTATCAGTTGATTAAGTTTATAAAATGCTTTGATATATAGTCTCTCACTAAAAACCCTGGAAGCTTTAATCCTCATTGCAGTTTGTAAAAGCAGACGGTAATAGCACAATGATTAAGAATCTCATTGTTCTTAACTGAAAAATAGGATAATACTGATCTTGTAGTGTTTGTGTGTTGTTACTTTATATATGTACAGTTAATGTGTTTGATATATAGCACTCAAAAAGTGGTTGCCGTTGTTGGAATGCTAGAATCTGTCATCTTATAGACTTTAGCTGTATTATAATGCAATGCCTCAGTAGTCAAGAATCTGATTTCCTGGAGCTCCAGAAAGTTACTTCTCCACCTAGTATCTTCTGTACCAAGTAGAGCTGTCCTCCTCCTGTTTTTCACTCATTTATAAAATGTATTTCCATCTTTTGTGTGTTCTGCATTCTAATTCAATTACAAACTTCTCAAAAATAGGAATCCTCTCCCAAAAGTCTTGTACAAATTTGAGATTCAAAATGCTATCAGCTGACTCAAGTTGGTTTTACACTCAAAATTATTTTCCTGCTAAGTCTGCTTTTGGAAAGAATGCTTAGTTTCTGGCAAACAGCAAACAGCTTTACTGCTTGAATTTCTTAAAAGGATTTGTTCTAACTATTCTATGAATGCAGTGTGGTAAATATCGCATAGCAAGTTAATGCATAATTCTTAGGATCAAACATACTTAGAACACCAGGGCATCTAGGTTAATTTTGTGTTTTGTTTTTTAACGTAAAGAGTTAAGGCCTAGCCTACATGAATCTGATTTGTACAGGAAGAAAAGTCAGTATTTGTGCCCATGCTCTTTCACGGTCATACTACCATTTCCCTATTCTGGAGGTGTGGCTTCCTGTGATCCACAGAACATCGGAGTTCCAGGAGACAGAGACAGGAAATCTTTGCATAGAAATACTTTCACATGCACCTATTCCCCTAGCTTAGTCCAGTAGGTCTCAAATGTCAGTGGGTATAGGATTCACCTTGGGAACTTGTTACAAATTCCTACTTAGACCCCCTCAAAAAATTGATTCAGCAGCCAAGATGAAGCAAGAAATCTGTGTTTTAAACAAACTTTCCCAAATGCCCCGCTATCCTGTGATTCTGACGTACATAGTTCAAGCCCCACAAGGTGAAGCATTGGCCAAGTCTGAGGCCGTGTCCAGGGTTGGGATAATAAGAAATAAAAGGCAACCTTTCCATTAAGTAGTGAAGTAGTGAAAACATTTGAAGGAGAGACTCCTGGTTGCTGGAATTAGCCTGGATCCACCATATACCTCTTCCGTTTGTGTTCCTTACCAATTTGCCTAGTTGTTTCTACTAGCTAGCTGTCTTTTTAAAAACAACACCAATTTTTTTATTAACTTAATCCTTATACAAAACATCAGACAAGGTGTTCGGTAAGTAGAGTTTATTTACCCATGCTGCTTCTCAAATATATGTGTACTCACCGCCTCATGATTTCAAAATAGAATCAAGGATTTCAATATAACAAAGAAAGATTGTTTCCTACCCCGAAGAATGTATTACAATTTTTTTAAAAAAATTTCTCTCCTACACAGCTATGAATTCCAGGTGAAACCCAAAAACCCACTTGGAGAAGGCCCACCCAGCAACACGGTGGCATTCAGCACTGAATCAGGTAATCACATCAACAGTAATGCCCATCCAGGATATTAACAGGCCACAGTGTTTTGCCTAAGGAGCTTCTCTGAAACACAGCTAAATGAACAGTGTATAGAACAGTGTATAAAGTGTTTAATTTTGAGAAAGCAGATTGATAAAAAGAGCCTTAAGGAAACATTACATACATCTTTTCTCACTTATTTTGATGTCAGAAAAAAAAAAAGACATACCATTTTAAAAGATAAAAAGTGTATCAATGTATACTCAAAAAACTAGTGAATGAATACTCCCTCTGGATGCTTAGAATGGCCAGAATCAAAATATCAGACACAGTCATAGTACATCCAGAAACAGAATTCATGTGGTAGTTTTTTTGATAAACAGCTGTGAAAATTTCTGATCTTCTATGCTCCAATTTCTTTAAAAGATACATCTGTACTCATAGCATTAGTAGTGTCATTTTTACACCAACTGCACTTCATGGCATTCTGGTGACTTTACCATCAATAGTTTCTGTCTGAATCTGAAAGAGGAACCTTTAAAATGGAGTGAGAGCTTGAAGAGCAACAAAGATTCCAAAAGATACAGCTGAGTACCCGGCAGGAGACTGTTTATGGAAAATAACTCTAAAACAAAACACACTTCAGTCTTTAGCAAGAGTGTACCATTTTGCAAGTCAGACTTAACTGTCAGCATCCAACTTCTTCACTGTGCTGCTGGCCCACTGGGACTTACTTACCTAATGTACTGTCTGACTCTTGTTTGCTGTTTCTCTTCAGCGGACCCAAGAGTGAGCGAGCCAGTTTCTGGTAAGTACCTGTCTCTGTGTGAACATAACTACATGTTTTTCTAAACTGATTCAACTAAACAAGCATGGTGGCATTTTAGTCATGATTTCATTTTAGTCCACTTTATCTTAGACTATCAGTCGGGTGGGAATGCTTACCTAGAACCCTCCCTAACACTGAGAACCTGTAACGTTTGGGGGGAACAAGTCGTGTACTCTGAAACTTGCTTTCATTCATGTGCCAGGGCAGCTCAAAATTTCAGTTATGTAAGTCAAGATATAACCTCCTCATTTCCACTTTTAATGAGAAGTCACATTAAAGCATCGGTTTAAATTATATACTATGCTACCAAAACCAAACAAACAACCCCCCCTCCCAAAAACAAAACACAACAACCTAAATTTGTCCCTAAGGGAATGCTGTCCACATGCAGCCCTGCACAGGTTACTTGAAACCTAAACATACTGCTTATCTCACTACTGACAGGAACTTAGGTGGGAGTTTGTATGTTTAAACTCAATACAATTATTTTGGGTCCAATATTTAGCATGGGAGAAAACCAGGTTATCAGCAGGCTGACAATGAACTTTGCAAGTGACTTTTTTAAAAATATTTAGTACTTTTTAGCTAAAAATATTTAGCTCTTCAGCACCCATATGCTAAACTCAAGGCATGTGTTTTCCTTATGCAGCAGGAAGAGATGCCATCTGGACTGAAAGACCCTTTAACTCAGACTCTTACTCAGAATGTAAGGGCAAACAGTTTGTCAAACGGACGTGGTATAAGAAGTTTGTAGGGGTGCAGCTGTGCAACTCTCTCCGCTACAAGATTTATCTGAGTGACTCCCTCACAGGTAAGCAAGGCTACCGGCTCTGTTTCAAGCCTTCAGGGAATGCTTCACAGCATTCTGTAACCTAGCCTTTCCTACGGATGGCTCCCCACACCAAGGTGTGATAGAAACAGTTCTTCATTCTGAGCAACATGTGACTGGAATACTCAGCCTGGGATTAGAGGCATGCGATTAGAATGTAAATAATGAAAATGCAGTGTGAAACAAAATCGTCAGGCAAACTTGCATGTGAAGGCACTTGCCACACTGAAGCTCACTGTGTCACAGCCACCAGGCACAGAGAGCCCACTGATGATAAAATGAGTGTATGTAACAGTCATCATGGAAGGAATAGGGCATATTTAAGATTTAAGTCTCCCAGAGACAAGATCAAAACACCTGACAGCGAGGGTGATAACTCCTTGCTCCAGATTCAGTGGTAATGTTATTTTCTCTTTTGTATTCACACAATAAAAATTTTAAACAAACAAACAAAAAATTTTTAAACAAGGCTGGTCACAACACGGAAAGGAAGACATTTGGTTAGTCATTCAGCAAATAGCTGCTTTGTTCAGGTTTTCTAGGTGCTAAGGACAAAGCAGTACACAGCTTCTAATTTAGTAGGGATAGACCACAGACATGTAAATAAAAATTGCATGCAGTGCTTTGAAGAAAAATTAAAAAGGGTGAAAGAAAATGTTCGAGTGGAAGCTTCTTTAGTTAGAATGGCCTCTCTGAAAAGCTAAGGTTTATGCTAAGTAGAAAACTATGAGAAGGAACCACCCCAGCAAAACTCTAGGGATGAAGCACTAGAGGTAGAGGGGAGAAAAAGCAAGGGCCCTGCTGGAACATGCCTGGCCAGGGCCACTGGTGTGGCTGAGGCCTCAGAAGGAGAGGGGCAGCCAGACAGACAGGTGTGGAATCCTGTGGGACTTTGACACCAGGTAAGGATTTTGGGTTTTCTTTTGAATATAATAGGTGTGTGCAGGAGGGATTTATGAAGAGTAACATCTGAGCTGCATTTTAAAAAGATGCCTGATTTCTGGGATGAGTGGAGGGGTAAGGAAGTAAGAGAGAGAGAAAGGAGTAAAAGCAGTGGTGGCAGCCGAAGACTTCCAGAGTTCAGTCAAGAGACACTGGTGGCTTGAACTAGGGTGAAGGGGGGAAAAAGTAAAAATAGAAAAGACTATCAGAAAAAACTAGAATATTTCAGAATTATCCTCTATTGAAGATAGTAACACTTCATGATCCTTTAAATTTCTCGTTCCTTAGGAAAATTTTATAACATAGGCGATCAGAGAGGCCATGGAGAAGACCACTGCCAGTTTGTGGACTCGTTTTTAGATGGACGCACAGGACAGCAACTCAGTTCTGACCAGTTACCCACCAAAGAAGGTATGTTTTCTGGGCCTCCTCCTAAGCAAGGGGATTTTTCAAATTAACACAAAAAGAATTCAAGCTAAGGAAAACAATCACTTTAAAAGTAATTCTACAGCACTACTGCTCTAATTATCTGACTAGGAAAAAAAAAAAAATTTCATGTAAGACCATAATAGAAGTTTCTCAACTTTCCTACTAGTCCTTAAGACTTGATTCCTTAGAGTTAGAGAAATTACACAGACCTCTATAGACATTCCATTTCAAGAAAACTTCACTTTGCAAAAACAGCTATAGAAGAGTAGTGTTTCCCAACCTTAAATCACTCCTATATTACCTTATACTTACACAGAGCACACAGCCATTTTTTAATTCCCTTATTATTTGCCACATAAATATAATTAAAATCAAACAATTCTGGTGAGTAATGAATAACCACTATAACTTGCTAAGGACATATTAGCACTAAGCTGCTCCATGAGGATTTAAAAGACTGAAAATTTAATCCTTAGCCAGGCAGGACAGGAGAGAGTAAATTAAATGTCCATGTTACTCAGCAATTACTGAGAGGTTTCTGCATTATTTGACTAGTCTTTTCAGCAACATGTTTTGTTACAGAGCACTTAAGTCCCCTTTTACTATAGTTGGTGTTTTTATCTGTGAACCCAATTAACAGGAAGTTGAAAGTATTGCCACTCAGGCACTGGATATAAAATATACTGTAAATTGTGTACACTGCCAAAACATTTTACATCTGTTGCAAAAATTATCATTTATTATAGAGTCCTTGAAGGAAGATTTCACCTAAGTTTAATTTTCAGAAATTTAGCATTCCTGCCATTGTAGTAACTAGCCCTTTACTTGGTCAGTTCTTCATAGACCATGACTAGTCCATACTGTGCAGACTACTGAACGTGCTCAATCACACTCAAAACACAAACCAGCCCCCGACCCTGACTCCTGCCCCTTTTCAGCTTTGTCTCCCAGATGCTACCAACCAGCTCATTCCACCTTGTTAAGGCACAGGTCAGAGGAGTTTCAGTCACCCCTCATGTTTAGCTAGCCATTACAACCTCCAGGAGACACCAGGCTCTCTGTTTGGTATTCTCCATTTTCTAAAATACTTCACATCATCCACAGTAACATTCAGTCATACAAGGACACCCTTCCATCTGTGAGTGGTGTGGGCAAAAATATAGCAGCTATTAAGATAAAATTATTTTCCTTCTTAGGCTATTTCAGAGCAGTTCGTCAGGAACCTGTCCAATTTGGAGAAATAGGTGGTCACACCCAAATCAATTATGTCCAGTGGTATGAATGTGGGACCACAATTCCTGGAAAATGGTAGATGCTACAATCAGAATCAAAAGTGCCTTCTGTTTTATCATGGCAAAAAAATAATTGGAAACAGTATTTGTCACATTCATTTAAAGCTGTTATGTTTACTATGTATTAAAGTTTAATAGCAATAGTAGATGTTTATTAGAAATATTGCTGAGAATATTTATCAGGTTTTACAAAATCATTTTAAGAAAACAAGATATTGACATTAACAGAATAACATTTTTAGGGAAGCTGGCTCCCTACTCATGGTATTTTAAGAGATCATTTGTATATTATTTATCACTCTGTTGTAATGATGTTTTGAGATACTTTTATAACAAATTTAACATCAAAAACTAATATACTTTTAAAAAAATATTTCCTTTTATTAAAGTGTATTCTTCTTACTGGTGAGTTAATGCCATAAATCTCAACTTGGTTTAACTTATTAGATCAAATTATCTTGAGCATTTGTATCTGGGGGGAATGAAGGTCCTAATATTCATGTTTATTTAAACTTTAAATTTTTAGCAATAGCTAAACAGCTTTTCTGAAGCATTTCAATACTTAACCATTCATACCAATATACATTTCTTTAAATCTGTGCAAATTACTAAAAAGCCTGTTTGAATCATTATATTTGATTTCAGCTGCAAACCGAATAGAGTATCTGATCTGTTCAATTTCAAAATATACATTTTGTTCTTTCTCTACCCATAAATATGCTACAATGTCTGAATGTACTTTGTCAAACTACCCTTTAACCAGGGATTTGTCTTCATACTGTTAATATAATTCTAATGAAGCTGTACGTAGAGACTGAATGTGAAGTCTGAGCACAAACACCCCTACATTTTACAGGTCTCCTGTTTTTAGACCTCTAGGAATGAATGTATCAGAGAATGTTTTCGTAATTTTGTCTAACTCAACCTGTAATGAAAATTTAAAAAAAAAAAAAAAAGTCCTTCATTTGGGGAGGGACATGGGAATGCTGCATTGTTGCCCTCTTTCTGAAAGGACCTTTCCTCTGCTTACCCTTCAACATGCTTCAAGTTTATCAACGCTACATTTTGTATTTTTCAAGCAAGTATAAACTCTGCAATAAAGAGATGTAGTTTTTTTAAGACTGAGTTCTTCATTTCTGAATGATTCATCTATATAAGGAACATCTCAAAGTTATTCAGGATCTACCCAAAACCCCCTCGTAACTGTTGTGTTTGTATGTAATGTTAATTTGTCTCCCTCTGAAATCTATTTCAAAGAAGTTTCATTGTTTCAAACCAATGATTATTAAATGCATTTCTTTCAAAGTCAGGACAAAATTTCTTAGAACAGAAAACTCTAAGTTAAAACACCTATCCTTCATTTTGAGACCAAACAGCAAAAAGAATTTCTATTTCTTCTTTTTCTCATGGAATTTAGTCATTAACATACACAAGACCACTACTGGATTCAATTATCTTTATTAACCTATCAATGTTACATTTTGTACATAATATCTAGTTGTCTTCTCAAAGGGGGTCTAGTTTAGTACATCATGTTAATAAAAAGCCAAGTTAAGATGGCTAAACTTCAACCTAGCGTTTTAATATCCTCCAGACATGGCAAGCTAGAAAGTCAATCATTTTACACACATCAGAGTAGTGTTCCAAAATAACTAGGCAGCTGCTACACTTTTAAGCAAGGGAAGAAAAAAACTTTTCATTTTGGTCTTTTTGTGTTCCAGCAAATTATACTTTCAATTAACAGCAACAATGATATCATAAAAAATGCTCTGCTTTTTAAATTTCTGAACTTCAGTACAAATTAAAATAGTAGTATTGGAGTCTTTTGGGAGGCAAATAGCTAGCAGCTATAGTCATCCACGCAGCCGAGCCTCTCTATCGATAACCAGGTCCCGGTTGGGTATAGCCCTGACCAAACGGTGGGCGGGTGCGTGCATAAGGGTTAGGCCCACTGGGAGGTGGAGTCATAGTACTTCCGGGAGGTGGAGTAAAACCTGGTCTTGGTTGATAGGCCCCGGGTTGGCTTGGAGCCATTCCAGGTTGTGAGGCAGGGGCCACAGTGTAACTGGTAGGCTGAGAAGTCTGGGTGGTGTAAGTCTGTGGAGGGTAACTGCTCGCCTGGTACTGCTGCGCTGGTTGAGCAGGCAGCTGCTGAGGCTGGCCAGCAAACGCAGGAGCCGGTGCCTGGGAAGCTGGCTGCTGGCCATATCCCTGGAACTGCTGAGGTTGTTGGGGTCCGGTCTGCTGACTATAGCCTGCTGAAAAGGCAAAATAAAGTACATATAGATCTTATTTTTCTTTTGGTGAAAGGTTTTCCAGAGAATTAGTCTTACTGTTATGGACCAAAAAAGATGAGAAATTGAAACTCATTCCTAAGTATTCATAGAACAAGTAAGGTAATATATAGTCCATCATACAATATTACTTCAAAACCAAGCAGTATCAAAAAAAGGTTATTTCTAAACAATTTTTAAACCCTCTAATCTAAATTGAAACCACTATATATTTCTTCATTACAAATGTTTCTAGACTACATAATCCCTAAGAGCAAATACCTGTTCTAGCATAATTCCTAGTGTAGAATAGATGCTCAAATGATAAATGCAGGAATTAATGTAAAGCTAGTCATTAACCTGGTGTAGAGGGGAGGCCTACTTAACAGCTGTACCAAGTAAAAACACATTGAGACAATGAATATTTTTAAATGAAGCAATGATGCTACAAATACATCTTATTGTGCTAATGAGATGCTTTAAGGTTCACTCACTCTATAAAAACCAAGCCATTTAAGAATGAACATTATGTACCCACTTTCACAATCCTTAAATTCTTTTAGATTTGGTATCTGATGTTTTGCCTTTATAACTCAGAATTCTGACTTAGTAGTAACAGCATAACACATAAAAAGCACATGATATTGCCCCACAATATCAACATCTATATGCATTATTTACTAGGATTTTTTTTAAATTTTTTTAAAGAACAAGTCTGCTTCACTAAAATCTTTTATCTCTACCATGAAACACACCTGCAGCTACTTGCAATGAAACCTCTCCAATGACTGGAATCCTGTCAGCATTAAATACCAGATACATAAGAAAATAATTAAAATATGTACAACCCTGCATTTAAATTAAAAAAAAAGGATTGAATGAATTTGAGTATATTCTGAACTCACCTTGAACCTGGGTTCAAAATTTACTCATGAAAGAAACCTTTCTGACATAGTCCATGAGTAAAACTGGAAAAGCAGAGGGAAACTGCCAAACCAACAGTGTCAAAAATGGTTCAATGTTACCACCACCACTTACAGTCTCCAAGCAGAGTACTTAGTTGACTATTTCCACATCTCCCAATCAAATTCAAGTTAATAGGACTAGTGGGATCAGAAATACAAAAATGATGATTGGAAAACTAAATTTTACTCGAGTGAAGACGCTGACTAAAATCATTAAGAACAAGCTTAACTTTTAATAAGTAAATTAAGCATCTAAGGCATTTTACTTACGGTAGCATTCAAATACTGAAGTCAATTCATGATAAAATCTTGAATGTTATACAACTTCTCCTATCCTCTATATAAAATTTATTTGCTTCATTTTTTTAACTGTAAGTTTTTGAAGAAACAGAAGAACTCAGCTTTTACACTGAAAATGTCTATGCAAGTTAAGACTCTGAGCAAAATACTGCTGCCTTTTCATCCTGGCAGCTCAAATCCAGACTGGCTTTTTAACTGAGGCTGGGAACAACCAAATCCTTAATTATTTCTCAACAGAGGGAATAACTCCTACGGGCCTAATGCCATTTCATTAGCAACCTATTACTCTTTGATCATAATGTGGCAGTGCTTCTATTATGTGTACAGCCCCACCCTCTCCCTTGAAAAACAACTTTGAAGAACAACAAAAATCTCAAGAAATGGAAATTATGTGATTTTTTTAAAAAATTAATGAATAGTGTAGGACAAGGGATCATATGATCCACAAAGTCTAAAATACTTACTATCTAGCCTCTTATGGCAGGTAAGTCTGCTACCACTGCCCTAGGCTGGAGAATGCAGAATGATATTAATTAACAGCAAAGTCAAATACACCGACTCTGAGCTCCCCCACTGAATGGCTGCATGTCCTTCATGTGTCACAACCTTTCTGAACCCGTTACAACTGCCTCTTTTTTAAAATGAGTTGGCTAGACAAGTACAAAAAGTTTTCAACCCTGCCTACACTTTAGAATGACTTACAATGCTTTTAAAATATCAAAGCCCGAGTCCCATTCCTAACCAAATGAAACAAAATATCTGGGAGTAGAGCCTAGGCACCTTTAACTTTCAAAAAAAGCTCTCCAGGTGATTCTGAAGCACAGAGGGAGTTGAAAACCCCTGAATTAGAATGATGACTAGGTCTTTTCAGCTCTGATATCTATTATTTCTACAAATTATATAATTTATAACACTCTGACTTTAAAGGACTGCAAACCTAAAATAATTCTAATATCATAATCCAAGCTTAAATTCATCCCACCTATTTTACATAATTAAAAACAGCTATAGGTTAAATCACTCTATAGCAAATACAATCCATATGAAAACTGCTACATGCGCTAAAATATGTCCAAACTTCAATTAAAGATGGAATTTTATGGACTTGTGCAGAAGTCATGACACTTTGTTTGGACAACCTGAGAGTAAATATTCTAGGTTTTGTTGGCCACACAGTCTTAGCTGCAACTACTCAGCTCTGCCACGACAGAGCAACAGACAGCACAGAAATGAACAGGTGTAGATGTGTTCCAATAAAACTTAATTCACAAAAACTGGTGACATGCCATATTTGGTCCATGACTATAGTTTGCTAATTCCTGCTCTTATTGAACTATAAAACTCTGTAAAACAGAATTTTAGGCAAGATTCAACTTAGATAAATTATTTTTAATTATATGAACTTTTGATACTTAAATCTTTGGCTGTGAAACATGAGTTAAACATAAACTCCCTCTCTGATACAACAAATATAAAGTTACCTGATTTATAATGATCACAGTCAAAGCTACACTAGAGATTTCATATTTAAATATGGATAATCTTCAGTGGACAAAAGGTAAAAGAAAATACCCAGAATGCCTACATTCAATATTCTTAGCTGCCCGGACTACATTTGACACAAGTTTATTTTTTTGGCCTATTTTTGTATTCCCACATACTTCGGGAGATTTAAAAACCTAAGTAGCTTAATTTGGTTCTTATTTATTAAGATTGCCTTTTCATGTATGAGGAAAATGTTAATATTTTTACAATACAATGGAATTACATGTGACATACAATGGGTGAAAAAATCTTGCATTTTTGCTGTTCTGAGTCACCCAAGAGGTAAGTAGATCATTTCAGTATAAGATAGCTTGTGTTACAAATGTTTTCAAACTATAAGTTATTAAAAAATCATCTACTGTGACTGTTGACTGAAATGCTAACTTAACTATTTATGCAAAACTTTAAAAATAAACAAATGTATTTCCTCCCACAAAGAAATACTTAACACCTCCTATGACAATGTAAGTACTACAAATCAAGGAGTTAAGAGGAAAGGATCAAAGTGTAATGAGTACAGAAACAGCTCACAACCAATGAGTCACCTCCCTCTGGACGCGCGCTCACCTGAATACTGAATCCCGTACTGCTGGGGCGGCTGAGGCGGCGCCTGCGGGGGCTGAGCCCCGTAGCCGGCCTGCTGCGGGTACTGCTGGTACATCGGACCTAAAAAAGACAAGACAGGGGAAAGAAGTAGGTTCCATTTGGCAGAGAGAAATATTTTTAAAGCACATTTAATTCTTTCCCCACCCAAACACATAAATACACTCAGCAACAAGACCCAAGGATGTCTGTTCCCGCTGAAGCGCTGCAAAACAAAGAACGAACTGAACGTAGCTGCTGTGCTGTGGACCGACTGCAGGGAACTCGGCAGCGGCAGCAAACACCACTAGTGTGGTCACTCAAAAATTCCAGAAAAACAAAAGCTTTCGAACCCCACTGCCAACAGACAGGTACTGCTTATGTTCTGTAAAAATCAACCAAGTCAAAAATCAAGAAATAAAAATCTGAGGAAAGGAACAAATACA